CACGGCCAAGGATCGCGGGGAGGCGGCCCCAAAAGGTACGGGTCGTCCCTGTCCATTGCACGCATAGATGAGCGGGAGAAAGATCCAAGAGAACATCGAGCACCCATCCCAACCTGGGACAGCGCTGCCGCCCAGTGGGTGATATCAATGTTCGCGCCTGGAAACAGGCGCAGCAAGGCAGACAAGTCAGCGACGAATGGCGCGACTTTGGCAAGAGCAGCAGGGGTGCTTGAAGGAGAACAGGCACCAGCAGGGACACCAACCTCAGGAGCAGCAGGCCCCCTGGAGGGCGCGCTCGACTGAGGCAGGCGTCGGCCAAAATGGCCGAAGGGATCCGAGAAGCGGTTCGGAGCAGAGCGAAGGGCGTGGTGGCGGAACGTACTCCTCCCTGCGGGGCCGCAACAGCATCGCTGGAAGAGCGCATTCCTACCCTCACGCCCTCGCTGAGCCCAAACGCGCCTAGCAGCCGCAACAGCGTCGGTGCAGACTGTGCGCGGCGGCGTACCCCGGCCCCGCGAAGGCCCACCCTTCCAGGAGGCGGGCGCCAAAGGCGCCCTCAGTCCTTCTTGGGCACCGCCTTCGGTGCCTTGGACGCACCCTGGGACTTGGAGGGGGGCTTCGAAACCTTGGGCTGCTTGGGCTGATGAGGTGGATGCTTGGGGAGCGCGACGGCGCGCTCGGCGTCGAGACGCGCCCGAAATGCTTGCAGCTCCTTCACGTATTCGCCCTGCGCCGACAGCCAGCGAGGATCCACCAGGGGTGAGAACGGGGTCTGGGCCTCGCGCTCCGCGTGAAGACTGGTCACGCGACACGGGGGAGGCTCCAGCCCCGTAAGGAACCAGGCGGCCTCGAGATAGCCGCGGTCCCCCGCCAGCTGGTCGATGAACATGCACTGACACGTCAGTAAAGTCTGGGCTCTCTCGGGGTTGCCCTCTTCGCAGGCCCGCCACAGCTCGGCGCTGAGGAAGGCGAAATGCGTCAACAACTCGTGCGTCGTCGGCTGAGCCCCCAAGGGACTGTGCTCCCGAAAATACTGATGCATGGCCATGGGCGTCACGGCGCTGACTTCCACGCCCAGGACACGAGCCAAATTCTCCTTCATCAGCCCTCGCACATCGGGGCCGTGCTGTAGCAGCGCTTGCTGCCACTCGCGCCTCCGAGCAATGCCCCCCATCTGGGCCGATGCGGGCGCGGGGTCGCCCGAGCTCGTGGGTGGAATTTGAGCTGAGTCGCTCAGGGTCCCCAGAAGCGGATGGACGGTTGGGCGATGGCCCCGCCCCTGCTGCAATAGGAGGGACTGGTGCAGGCACTGTAGCATGAGGCTGAAGTCCGTCGGATTGGCCGCATGGGGCGGCTCTGACCCGTCGGCGCCGCCCGCCTCGGCAAAGCCGTCGGCCGCAGCGGGATGGGCTAGCCCAGGTGGCGGCGGGGGACCCATCGCTCCGAAACCGGACGAAGGGGCCCGAGGGACAGCAAGAGAGCGCGCCTTTTCCCACGCCGAGACCAGCGCGGAGGTCGGACCCTTGGGACGCGCGGAGACCCGCTGTGGGGCCACGGGCGCGTGAGACAGGACGGCCTCGATCCCCGCAGGATCCAGCCCGAGGCGCACCGCTTCGTCGCTGAAAAGCTGAGGCACCTCGGGCCGATCGCTCCGGACAGCCGGCGCGGGGCCCAGCGGCTCGGGTCTGCCGACCATCGTGGAGGCCGCGTGGGCTGCAAGCAAGGCGCGCATTTCGGCAGCTACTTCGGCACGGGTCATAGGAGCCGCGTCGTCCAGAGACGCCGCAGGGGCACCAGGAGCGATCGGAGCGGGACCCGCGACCCGTGGCGGCGCGGCGGTGCCCGCGCGCTTCGCGGGCGGGCCGCGCGGCGCTCCAGCGTCCGCGGGAGATCGCGCACTTGGGGCCGTGCGGTCGGCTTCCCCGTCGGCCGCGAACCCCTCGGGCTCCTCCATCTCGTCGGCAGAGTGATAGGGAGTAGCCCGATCGGCCCCTGGGAGCGGCTCTTCTCCTGCAGTAGGCGGGGCGCCGTGCAAGCGTGCGTAGCCCTCGCGAAGCACCCGAACCCCCGAAGGATGTGGCCAATAGACGCGGCCCCGCACCTCGGCGAAGGGAACGATGACTGCGTCCTCCCCGACCTCTAGAGGGTAAAGCGACTCGAGCTCGAGCTCTGCAACCTCGATATCTACGACGAGGACGGATGCAGTAGTGGCGAGCGGCCGTGAAGCGGCCCCCTGGAGCTGGACGTCCACTAGCTGGAAAGGGCCTATCATTCCTGCAAAGCCATCCGCCTCGGCAGCCATGAGCTCCGCCGTAGAGCGAAAGGCGCCAGGCAGGGCCAGCAGGATGCCCCCTTCTCGAGACGCGAGGGGGATAGCTGCCCAGCTGGTGTCGCCGTCGTCTAGGCGCCATCGTGCGTAATCGCGAGCCGTGGGAGCCGCGAATGGGTAGAGCTCGGGCCATAGCGGCCCTCCGCCAACTGGTGGCAGCTCAGCCATCAATGGGCGCTGTCGTGGGAACTGCCGCCCGAATGCTGGGCGTCTGCCCGCTCGAGCGCTCGAGGCCGAGGTGGAACCCCGTAAGCCAGCGCTCGCGCCGCACGGCGGTCCTGCTCAGGGGAAGCAGGAACCGCACCGCGCGGCCAGGCGGAGGCCCTGAGCCTCCGCCACACGTACGGGCCCAGCAGCCCGATGCAGCAGCCTGCGCAGGCGCTGCACGCGGCCGTCACCCAAAGGAGGGCGACGACCGTGCTGAGCAGCCAGGGAGAGACCCCGCCGCTCAGATCCACCGCCAGCCCGAGGCAGACGGTGGGGCAGGCGGAACCCGCCGAAGGGAGGGGGCAGTAAGCCCCCTCACCCTCGGACGAGTCCGCCTGCTGGATGGACCAGGCAGGCGCAGGAGGCCCTTGGTCCTGAAGCACAGAGAGGGGGGCAGACACGAGCCGCTCGTAGAGCGCGGCCCGCAGCCCCCTGAAGAAGATCTCCCCAGCGCCCCCGAGAGCCGCTTGTGCGACCGCCTGCATAAGGCGTCCGCACGCGCGGCCGACGGGGGGGCACTTGGGCAGAGAAGCTGCGGAGACAGCAGGAGCTTGCTCACAGAGAATAGAAGAAGCATAATTATGCAGTTGTTCTCTTTCGAATTTTGGCTCACGCCCTGCCTCTCCTCTGGGGTCCACGATTGTGGAGTAGGGGTACATGGGGCAGTGGGGGTGCGAGATCCCCAAGGCACCTCTGGATCCCCCAGAGCCTCGAAATCTCCAAATCCACCCGCCGCAACATACTTTCTAAGATGGCTCAGGAAGGGCTCCAACACACCAGACCAGTCTCGAGCACACCAGAGATGGCCTCAAAAATGCGTAAAGACGCCCCCGAGACGCCCCAATATGGCCCCAAGAGGACACCCAAGATCGCCTCAAGCGCAGCAAATCCATAATCCTCGAGATGCTTTTCAAAATCAGCTTGTCGCGTTCTCGCCTTCTCGGGCTTTGACTATCCAAGACGGACCGGCATCGCCCAAGGCAGCCCAAGAGGCCCCCAGGAGGTCCCGGAGACGGCCCACGAGATTGCCAACCAGGCCCCCCACCAGCTCCCACGAGGTCCCCAGGAAGCCTACAGAGGGTCCCCCAAAGTCTGCAGAAGAATATGCCGCCCCGTACGTCTCCAAGATGCCCACAAAAAGCCGCGCAACGTGCACGGAAGAGGAGGAGGAGGAGGACGAGGAGGAGGAGGAGGAGGAGGAGGAGGACGAATCAGCAACAACTACGCTCAGGCAGCACGACGGGAAGCATACGAAATCAGAAGCCGCACGTGTCCTCTTCTCGGGGTCGGCGGAATGGCGTAAGCCTCTTGAGTCCACGTCCGGAGGTGACGTGCTGAGCGGTAGCGTTTTTCGGCGAACGCCTTAATGCAACGTATCCCATGTGTCCAATGATTGCACAATCGATACATATTGTGTTTTGTTACAGTATTATGTCTCCCCCCCTAACCCCCCCCCTGGAGTCGCGCCACAGCGCCGTGCCAAAAGTTGGCCCCCCTCATTCTGGACCCCAAACCTACAAAAACCTACGTAAAATCAACAATTTCGGCCTCTTCGGCCTCTATTGCGGAATTGATACATATTGTGTTTTGTTACATTATTATGTCTCCCCCCCTAACCCCCCCCTGGAGTCGCGCCACAGCGCCGTACCAAAAGTTGGCCCCCCTCATTCTGGACCCCAAACCTACAAAAACCGATGTAAAATCAACAATTTCGGCCTCTTCGGCCTCTTGGGACTCCAAGAAGGCGTCAAGGGGGTTCCAGGATGGCCCCATGACGGCCCAAGACGGCCCAATACGGCCCCAAGACGGCCCCAGATGGTCCCAAGAGGGCCCGTCAGGCCCCCAAGACGGCCCAAGAGGGCCCCAAAATGATCCCAAAGGGCGCCTCCATGAGCCAAAATCATAAATTTCCCAATGGCTTTTTAATAATTTTCGCGTTCTCGCCCTTGCCGGCTCTCAGAGGACCATGACGGCCCAACCAGCCTCCAAGGAGACCCCCAGACGGCCCAAGAGGCCCCCATGGAGGTTCCAAGATGGCCCAAGGGGGCCCGACACGGCCAAAAGAGGCCCCCATGACGGGCCAAGGGGTCTCCAAGACGGGCGAAGGAGACTCCCAAAGAGCCCCAAGGCGGCCGCGAGAGGCCTCCAAGATGGCCTCCGAAGGGGCTGGGCGGCGCAAGAGCGCCCCAAGACGGCGCAAGACGCAAGAAGAAGCCCCGAGAGGCCCCAAGGCGGCCCCAAAGATGCCCCAAGAGGATCCCTGGAGGCTTCCACGAAGCTCCCATGAGCCCTTCCAGGACACCGCCTCAAGCCCCGGGGATGGCAGGCCGGAGCGGCACACGCGCGCGGAGGCCGAGCATGTCACGCCATGTAACGCCAACATTTTCCACAGTTCTCCACGGCGGCGATGACCAGTTCGGATCGGATGCGCGGCGCCTACTCTGCCCGCCTGCAAGCGCGGCGCCTACTCTGCCCGCCTGCAAGCGGGGCAGAGCATGTCTGCTTTGTCGCGCTGGGAACTCTTCACGGCTGCTCGCATAAACACTGCCGAGCACTGGGCGCATTTCAGCCCCCCGCGCGGATCCCGGCACTGAGCGCAGGTCCACTCTTTCATGTTCCACACTCTGTACTTGGCCGTCTTCGGCCGCGGAGTCGTGCCACATCTCGCGCACGGCGGGAATTTGCAAGACTCGCACCAAAAACCGGTGCTGTACGTCAAGCGGTCTGGAGGCCTTGCTCCGCAGCCTCCCTGACAGAGGGGCTTCCCTTTTTCGTCGAGACATTCTGTGCACGCGGCGTCTTTGACGCTCTTGTGCATCTTAAAAAAGGCTGCATCAAACTGATCCGCTGCCTTCTCCTGCGAGCAGATGCGGCACTTAAAAAGGCGGCCCTCCGACATAATGTTGAAATGCTGCCTCTCAGGGGTGCAAGCGACGCAAACGGCAAGGTCCAGCGCCCCTCTTCCCGTCAAGTCATTGACCTCGCTGCGTCTGAAGTTCTTTAACGATTTAGTCTCCTTGCAGCGATTGCAGACGAGCACGTCTCTGCCTTTCGCGGCGAATGGCTCTGCAGCCGCGGCGGGCGCGCCCGCAGCAGAGGTCCGCTTCTGCGCGCACAGGGCGCACCTCCTCCACGCGCCCTGGCACAGCAACGCCACGGCGTGCTCTACGGGGTCGCTCGTTCTCATGCCGCTGCCTGGGAAGTTGCCCGCTCTCTTCCGCTGGTGGCAGTCGGCGCACTGGAAAGTGACGTCCACCAATTTCTTGGACGACCTGGACGCGGCTTCCTTCTCTGCCTTGGCCCAGCCGGCTTCCGCCTGCTCCGTCGTCATCTCCCCGGCTGTCAGGGAGTGCAAGAGCCATGGGCCCGTCTGATGCCCCTGGCGGAAAAGCATGGGCGAAAAAGGCTGCGTGATGATCAGATCGTCAGCCCTCCTGGTGCGGCTGATGGCCACGTAGCCCGTGGGGACCATGGCTGCGCGGGGCGTCGTGCGCGCGTCCAGGAGGTCGATAATGGCCTGCGGCAGCGTGGCGCCGGTGACGCAGTGGGCCGTGGCGGCGAAGTGCGGGACCAGCGGGAACCCCGCGCGCTTCACCATGGCCTTGAAGCCGGGACTGCGATCCCAGGACACCTCCCTCTGCTTCACGGGGAAGACGCCCGCGGGCTGATTCCCAAAGCGGGGCGCCGTGTTCCCGGGAATTTGCACCATGATCGCCTCGGGCACGTGCTGCAGGACCAGCTCCGGCTCGGACCTGTGGTCTTTCACCAACTTCGAGTCGTCGGGGTGGAGGACCCAGCCCGTCACGGTACCCCAGGAGTGCTTGCAGGCTCCCGCCTCCGCATTCTCCGTGGTGGTGAACCGCGCCCGCATCCCCTCGAAGATCGGCAGCACACCCGGAACTCCGCCAGTCTTGTTCTCGGGGTACATGAGCCAGTTCTGCCTGGCGTGGGAGAGCGACTCCGTCGACCTGCATGCGTCGTCCCGAGTGAGGGGGACATCGCGCGCCACCACCCAGAGGAGCTGCTTCCCAGCATTGGCTGCCGCATTCGCCGCTCGCAGCGTCAGAATCCTGCTCTTCGGGGCGTTGTACGGGTGCACGAACAGCGCGTCCGCGAACGCCGTGCTCACCTCCCGCTGTCTGGCATCGCTCTGAGAGGCGACGCGGCAGCGCCGATGGCGTTCCGCGCTGCACTCAGCGCACTCCAGGGATTTCATGTCCTCCCAGGCCCGACCTTCTCCGAACATCCGTGGCCACTCAACTGACCAGAGCGCGCGGCACTTCGCCTTCCCGCAGCCGAAGTGCCCCGTCGAGGCCTCGGCGCTGCCGGGGCTTGCGGGCATCCAGGAGCCGGGCACATCAGTGGGGAAGCCGTGGACGAAATCGTACATCCTGTCCGACAGATTCCCAGCGCGCGCTTCGGCGAGAAAGCTTCTCCACCACACGTCTGAGCAGCGGTGCGACTGGGCCAGGGCGTAGCGGTTAGTCACCGAGTGCGGCAAGCCCTCTGTCCAGAACATCTCCAGTATGCGGCCGACGTTGGCGGGTCTCTTGACAAATGGGTTGGCGGCAATACTGAGACTCCTGACGGGCGGTATCTGCCATAAGTCCCCGAGCAGCACCAGGTTGAGCCCTCCGAACATGGCGAACTGTTTTGGAACGCGTGCGTCCACGGCCCAGGGGTTTCCCTTGTCCCTCGTCGAGTCCTTCACCTGCCTGTGCACGGCGTCCAGCAACTCCACCGAAACGTTCTCCACCTCGTCGATGATGAGCCAGCGCATGTGCTGGATTTTCGTGTGCAGCATGTTCTCCGACAACTCCGGGTCCTTCTTCCCGCCGGACTGGACTCCCGTGATGAGGTCGATTCCGAGCTTGCTGAAGTTGTGGATGGTTCGCCCACCGATGTTGCTCGCCATGGAATTCATGGGGGCGGTCTTGATGAAGTGCACCTCGTGTTCCCATCCCATGCACGTGGGGAACAGCCCCACGCCCTCCTCGCACAGCCACCGGATGACCTCCGATTTCCCTGAACCCGGCAGGCCGAGAACGAACAGCCGGGAGCATGGCGATCCGCGCAGCTGGTCCTGCTCGCGGGCCTCCTGGACGCACCTGTCGGCGACGGCGTCCAGGATGCTCATCTGCTGCGGGTCGGGGGTGATCTGGTGCGTCTGCAGTCCTGCGATCGGGCAGGGATGCGCATGGCCTTGCCTCCCTTCACACTACCCACCTTACCGACGACTGCTGCACAACCCTGTCTGCTACACATCACACGTGCCGCGCCACCTGCCTGGCATGCCCAGACGTGTATACATCTGGGAAGTCCATGTTTATACATACACACACTATACGCGCGTGCACATGTAGACGCGTACGCGCACCTTCCACAGAGCACGCATGGCGCGACCGAGGCAATGCAAGCAAACGCAGCGCCATCCTTCTAAGTGTATACACGAAGCCTCGCTTGTAATCAACCTTCCCCATACTTGGATCTACTCACCACTTACGACATGACGTTCTGGAGTATACATGATGTGTACACATTCTGCACATGCTCTGTACAAACTCTGTTCGATACACGCCAGCTCAAACGCCGAGGTTTCCATCCTCGATATCTTCTTCCAGAGCGAGACGAATCGGGCGCCCCCGACCGAACTGCATCCAGATCGTGCTTTTGCCAACTGCACGTCTCGAGATTGCCCCCCCCCGGTCCTCTCCGCCAGCTCTGGATGTTGCTTGTCAGGTCAGCGTCGCCAGGGTACAGCTTCTCCCGCATCTTGGAGCGCGCAATCTTCCGCGGTGGCTCCTGGGCATTCCCGCGAGCCCCCGCTGGCATTGCACTGGAATGCCGAAGAGCAGACTGTCGCAGTGGCAAGTTCAACGTGGGCGCCCTGTTCGGCGGGTCCCAGAAGGACATGCTCTGCTCCAGCGCTTTGTGCACCGAATGGGAGAGGTTCCCAATGTCCTCGCCAGCGGCATCTGCCCCGGCGTCTCGGTCTACTCGCCGTAACTCTGCCATGATGCTGCTGGGGCTGAGGACCGGAAACGCGTTCTCGGGTAGCGCCTCCACCGGCTTCGAGTCCTGGTCGTCCTCGCCCTCGTCGGCGTTCTCCGGCATCGTCGTCATGGTGCGGAGCACGTTCGCCCACAGGATGCGGTTGGACGGCGAGACGATGTGGCCGCGAAGGTAGTGCTTGAGGGCTACTCGGAAGCTCGGCGCGCTCCTCCCACAGCGCTGGCGCTTGGGCGGCAAGTTCAGATTCTTCGCTAGCGGAACAGGCCCCCGAGAAGATCCGTACTTGCACACCAATGTCCATGGTCGGAAGTACGCAGACAAAATGGCGCTGCGGCGCTCAGGCGTCATTTCGGGCTGAGGCATGACGGACCCGATGAAGACGGGTAGCGCGGGGACGCCCCGGGGTACAATCACGTACATGTGCGCGAACTCCATGTCGTCTGGGTCTTCTTCGAGCGCAAAGTACCTGCATCCCTCCGCGGGTGGCTTCACGACATAATGGACCCCAGGCCGTGGAGGCCCATCAGCCGCGGCCGGCGGCGAATTCGCCTTCCACTCCGTCGGGCCCGTCGATGGCTTCGAAGCATCTCTTGGTGGCGGGTACGTTGGTACCACCTCGAACAAGCGGACGAACTCGTACGGGCTCAAAGTCTTCAACTCGGCATGATTGGGTCGGTAGGCGTACGCTCGCGCCGTCGCGTCCGGCGGAGTGGCCACCTCGCCTGCGTCCGTGAACACCACGGACCTCTTCTGGCGCCGCGCCGTCGCGCGCCCCGCCCGAGTCTCGTCGGCCACGATCTGGAGGAAGCAGCCCGCGTAGAAGTCGGCGACAGGGCACGACGTGATGCACTCCGCTGCGAGCGGGTTCGGCCTGTCCGCGAAGTGCGCCAAGTTCACCTCCTCGAAGATCGTCCGCGCCACGCCCTTGGCCTCCCAGTCCCCGATGCAGCGGTGCACAGTGTTGAGCGTCTGCTGCATCTCGGACTTCCCATGGAGTCGCTCGGCCAGCGTGGACAGGCAGGTCTTCGCCAGTTCCCGCGCCTTCTTCCCGACGCGCTGCACCTTGGAAATGTACCCGCCGATGTACCGCGAGGAGTTCGACATGGACCGCTGCACCGCGAATGCGATGCGTCGAAGGTGCCCTTCTTCTGTGTCTTCTCTGGAGCCGTGTCGACACAGGCAGTTCGGGTCGTGAGTAATGCCTGTGATCAGCGGGAGCCGGTTGTTCGGCGCCGTGTGCGTGTTGCTCCGAAATGCCACCGCCAATGCTGGACAAGTCCCGCTCAGGAAGTCGTCGTTCCGAGGCCCCGCGATCTCGCCCAACGCACTCCTCGGCCCGTTCACTTTAAGCCCGACTTCCCTGGCCACCTGAGGGCACACAACGCGGAATCTCGGTCCATCTGGGGCCGCCATGAGCATGGTCTTCGGGAAGCCGTGCTTGCACTTGTCGCCGTGTTTGCAGCCTTTCTTGATGCAGTGTGTGAGCGGCTTCCCGTTGGGATGGTGGTGATGCTGGACCTTCGAGAAAATCATCTGCGCATCTGCCTCGTAAGCCTGCTTGAAGGTGGCCGCGTCGGCGTCGCAGGCAACGGCATCGCACCCCTCGTCCCACTTCGTCTTCGGCTCGGCATGGTCCACATACGCGGGCCACCGACACAGACCTACGTGCTCCGATGCGCGGTGATTCTGCCGCCACTCAGACTCCAGCGACGGTAGGCTCTCCCGGTGCTCCTCGGGGGCCCAGTGCTCTTCCCTGTGGACCCACGCGTGCCACTCCTTCACCGCGTCCGCCAAGCCAGGGGACTCCCGAATTGTCCTCGCGATCTCAGTCAAGGGTGCGTGCTGGAACATGTTCGCGAGGTACACGAACCCGTGGAAGTGGAGCGTGCCTAGGTGCTGGTTCTCGACGGCGCCAAGCAAAGCTGCAGCAACCCCGAAAATCCCGCCCATGGGGCGCGAGTTGGAGCCGAACTTGTCCGTGCAACAGCACCGGGGCTGCCTACGATATCTTCGCGCGACGCCGCACTCGGCGCACAACCGCAGACCCAGGAGGCGGCCCAAGATCACGTTCACGGCGACGCGGAAGCCCTGAACGACCGAGAGAGGATCATTGGCCACTTCGCACAGACGCAAATCGAAATCGGGGAGCTCCGCGTCGGCGCTCTCCGACAATGACGGCCACTCCCGTGACGCCAATCGTTTCCTCATGGCATTCCGTGCGTCGTCTGTGCACCCCGCGCGCAGCAGCGGGTCGCCCTGGCGTGCTCTGTGTAGACGCATCACCAAGCAGGACTGCTTCTCATTTGGCGAGATGGTGATGAAAAGCCCGTGCCCGTATCCAATCGCGCCAGACTGGAATACGTGGCCCATCCTGCGACGCAGCTCCTGGGTGCCTGCAAGGCTGCTCGTCACAGAGCGCATGTTGTGCACGATCTGTTTCTGGGTTGTGTCCAGGCCATGCGCCATGTGCAGCACCGTCAAGTTGCCAGCAATTGGCCGCCTGTTCGGCCCGTAGTACCCCTTCGCCAACAGGTCGTGCAACCCGCGGACAGCCGTGGTCAGGCGCTCCGTGAAAGCGGATCCGTCTTCGTCCTTGTACTTCCTGACTCTGCTCCCCAACCTCGCGGTGATGCCCAAAAAGCGGAAGTGGACATTGCGCATGCCTGGGATGAAGAGCCAGTCCGATCGGATCTGGTGTTCCACTCGGCGACTCATGCCTGCAAGCCACATCCCCATGCTGATGGACGGCCGGTTTTGCACTTCCTCGGGCCGCCCCACCGCGCGGCGCCGATGTGCGGCATCGGCACCGTTGCGCCAAGACCTCGTGAAGTCTGGCCCCCCGCTCTGCCACAGCAGCGTGTGCGGGAAAGCGATCGCGGGGCACTTCCCGTTCCACTGCTCCAACATGGCCGCGTCGGCGACGTACGGGACGACCGGCCCGCCGTCCATGGCTCACTGTTGGCGCTGACCCGCGGTCCCTTGCCGGGACGTCGCATCTGTGGGCGCGCAGGCGGTCGGTCTGGCATCGTCGAAAACAGAGGCGACGTCAGTGCTGGCCAGCGCCGGAGTCGCGTGCTTGTTATCCTGCACACTGCTCCTGGACGGATCCGCCACCACCGTCGCCCGGTCCACGGCTGGCGGGACCTTCCCGTCGGTGTCCTGGGGGGTGCCGAGCCACGGGTAGCACTGCTTCACGCGCCTTTCAAACGCCTCCTTGGCAGCGGCGATTGCGATGGGATTGCCAGCATCTCTACAAAAAGCGGGGTGGCCGCGGTCGATGAGCTCCCAGCCGAGCTGCAGCACCACATGAGCGCGGAGGCGCATGTGCTTCAGGTGCTTCGACATGTCCTTGTCTTTCATCCGGCACTCGAAGCGAACCAAGTGGGCCAGCGTCTCGCCGTCGTGGGGCAGCGCCGCAGCAGCACTGGAACTCTCCGTGATGGCGAGCAGGCGCTCCAGGACGTCGTCCCAATGCACCAGGAAGCTGGCCAGATTACCGCGGACAGCGTACCGACTGTGCGGATGCATGGCCTCTGGGGTTCGCCGTGCGAGCAGCGCGCCACTGCCCCCCGTGCGCCACTCGGCCACACTGCAGTTTCCAGGGGGGGCGGGGTCCGCAAAGAACAGAGAAGGGGCAGTGCCGCGCTACTTCGCGCAGCTCGCCTGATTGTTCATGAGGTGGCCCTTATCGCCCTCGACGTAGAACGCCATCAAACTCGTCCACACTGGCGTGGCCGCGGCCATCTCGATCCACCGGGGCTTGTGCTTCTCCCACCATGCCGACACGAACCCGACAAAGTTGTCGTTGGCGATGGCGGGACGCGGGATTCGCTCCCGCACCGTTCGCGTCTTCGCGAAAATGCCGCGGCACTGCCAGCACAGAGGTATGCGGCACGACTCGCACAGCTCATCAACAACTCCATGCTGACGGTCGCACACCACGTCTTCCGGGCAGCACAGGAAGCGCATGGAGTTCTGGCTTCCGTTCGGACCATTCCACCGCACCGTTCGCACCCACGGCGAAGACGCGGTTGTCTGCGTCGGATAGTGGTGCGACCGCGTCCCGCGGTGGTCCGGAGCAGGGTGCGGGAAGTGCGCCAGGAACGCGTCCAAGCCGAAGGCGTACTCCAGGAGCTCACGCGGACAACTGCGCTAGAGCCCGCGCAGTGGCGTCCATCCAATCTCACTGACTCCAGCGGACTCGGGGTCCTCGACACTCGTGTAGATCTGACCGCAGCAGAAGCACACCAGCGACGACAAACCAGCATCGTTCGCCACTTGCCTCATGGTGCGAATTGCCCGCCGGTCTCTGCAAATGCCGAGAGCTGGCATGCCAGTGCGCGCCCGGACCTCCACCGCCTGGCAGTAGATGGACCAGATCCACGCTTCCTGCTCCTCCAGCACCTCGGCATGGACGCCGTCATCGTCGGCGCTGTCAGCGAGTCTCTTGTTCCACCCCTGCCTCCACGCTGCTGGGAGGCAGGCCTGGTGGCAGCTGATTACGTGGCGCCGCAAATCCCTTCCGTCTCCCCGTGATCCAGCGGCACTGCCGAACGGCGCAGTGCAGATCCGGCACTGCAATCCGTCCATTACCACCTGGATGTTGTCTGCGGCGTCCGAAGGGACGAACGGCGGCGGAAGCGTCGGGTTCCTGCGGGAAAAATGCAGGAGAAAAGCCGAGCTGCTTCGTGGGCGACGTCCAGCGTCGTGTGCGCCACGTCGGCGCCGCAGGCCAAGTGGTCAACGTCGGACTGCTCTGACCCGGCAGGGGCCTCCGACAGCTCGGAATTGGAGTCCGACGCCGGCTCTGAGGGCGATGACTCCCGGTCGGCGTCGGAGTCAGACTCGGGGGCCTCCGCGGCTGCAGCGGCATGCTCTTCGCGTTCGCCCTGCGGTCGGAGACGCCCTGACGCGGCGCGCGGCAGCCGCGCCCCGTCGGCGGCCTGCGGGCGCGCGTTGCTGCCGGAACTCGCGCCCGCCGCACTCCCTCTCAGTGAACTGCAAGCGCCCGGACGCCTCGGCTCAGGATGCGGCGGCGGCGGAGAAGGCGCCCGAGCGGGCGCGCCAGCGGAAGAGTCTGCCGCGCCGACTTCATGGCGCGAGCGTGGAGGCCGGGGTTCAGGATGCGGCGGCGGCGGCGGAGGTGGCAGCGGTGGCGCGGTCTCCACTCCCAGAGGGTCGTCGAGAATACGTAGAACCTGATGACAGAAAGCCGCCACGTCCTCCTCGCCGAATAGCGCATCCACGTCAGCGAAACACGACGGGTCGCTGAACTTCCCCCGGCACGCGGTCGACGGCTCCCACGGTCGCGGAGCGTTAGCTCCTGACGTCGCCACGTCCACCGCATCGTAGTGTGAATACCCGTCGACGTCATAGTGGACAAAAGCAAAATCGAGCACTGGGATTTGCGCACGTCCCTGCAGCAACCCCTGGTCCGGGAAGATGGCCGCCTGGCTCCACGCGTTGAATGGCACGTACAGAGCGAGAGCGCCACAAGCCTCCAGGAAGTGCGTGATCACAACAGCGTCTGCATATCGGCGCGTTGCCGACACGTCCTCCGAATGGAGGCCCATGCATATGTCCACGTAGAACACCTGCAGTGGGCGGGGGCAAGAGATAACGCGGGGGTCACTGCGACTCCGCCATTGAAAGCCAGACCAGTCCCCCAAAAAATTCCTTCGCCCGAGTGAACGCACAAGCGCGGCCCCAGACGCCCTCTCGGCAACGCCCCGACGGCCCCGCCCTCAGAGTTCGAAAGCATCGCGTGCCTCCTGTGCAAGCACTATTTGGGAAATGTGCTCCTGGATCTCCGGGCTCCGCGAAGGGCACCCCTTCCTCCCCGTGCCCGCGGCGCCACCTTCCAGTTGGGGAGACTGCCCCACGCGACGCCACTGGCCACCTGCGCTGGCAACTCCTTCTGCAGGCGGGCCCTCCTCTCCACGGCGTACTCGTCCAGCTGCAGCGCCTCGAACAATTGCTGGTTCCGCTGCCTCATCATCTTCACCAGCGCCCATCTGTACAGCTTCCAAGCCGCGCGGCCTGGAAGTCCCAGTTCGGCAGCCGCAGCGCGGAAAAAGCACAGCCCGTCTCCACGAACAGGGCGCACGGACAGCCGCATCCCTGGCCGCGTCGCCGAGAGCAGATCAGCCACGCGACCCAGCGACTCGTTGGCGCAACTAATGCGGGACCGCCTGATGGCCTCCCCGTCATCGTCGAGCCCAACCTCGCTCACGCGCGCCTGGTCGACTGCGATCTCCTCGTCGCTCGACTCCGCCATGGCGCGCCAGAAGCGTCGCCGCCCCGCGGGCCAACTGGGCAGCCCTGACTGCGGCAAGACTGGACCCCGGAGCCGCTATCGAGCCCACAGGGTTTACAGATGCCGCGCGCGCTGAGATGGGCCATTGTGGGACGCACGGCTAATGGACGAATTCCGATGCGACCTCAGGTTGCGCGGCGCTCGGCGCATGCTCCGGGGTTGTTTTCAAAATGGTCTTGCATTGAAGCGTGATTTTCGGAAGGGCGCTCGCTGACGCCACGCAGCCCCCTGGGGTCACGATCCCGAAAGTCTAAAAGGACTGGGTAACAGAGACAGAAATGGATTCACAACCTCCGATTATGCCCCGCGAACGTGCTGCCCGACCACAGGGGTCGGCATCAAAAGGCCTCGAAGGTTGTAGCCAGGACAGGCAGACTCACAGAAGCCGAGATCGGCTTGGCATCGCTTCCCCGGAGTATTCCCCCGGCGGTCACAGCTGCGGGTTCGCATTGAAGTTTAAACGCGACCTCAGGTTGCGGGACAGACAACGCAGAAGTTCCCCAGCAGTGATGAAGACGATGGTGGTGCTCATGATGGTGACCGTTATCGTGTAGCCTCGTGCGCCGGCGAGTGATGATGACGATGGTGGTGCCGGTGATGGTGATGCCGATGGTGGTGTTTGTCGTCCTGGTGGTGCTGATGATGGCAGGTAGGATGATGATGGCGAGGCTGATGATGAAGGAGGTTGCTTTCAAAAATCGGACAGACCACTGGGATAGCTTCAGAAAGATGAGGGAGGGAGGTTTTTGCAACAGCGCTGGACGTACAAGCCTAGACCGAGCGTTTGGGGTTATGGCTGCTTTCGCTTTTTATTGTGCTCGAAAAAGGTCAAAACTAATGTACATGCAGCACCGTGCGAGCAGCTGCGGATCGAAAGTCCCGATAATCATGGGAGCGCGCTGTATGGCCGACGGGGAGAGCTGGAAAATGTTACTACCTGAGCGCTGGACTACCTGAGCGCTGGAACGAGTCATGCGGGTTCACCCCTCAGTGTCAAGAGATGTGAAAGCACGACGAGGCGTTGGTCAAGAGGCCTGGTCAAAACTGCCGCTGAGAAGGCAAAGCTGGTTCTAGCCGAGTCTGTGGCTCGGCAGTCGTGGCGCTGAGAGGGCAAGGCTGGTTGTAGCCGAATATACTCGGGGGTTGCCAGGGGTGCCCCCGGCCCAATGCGCTTCTGGCTTCTCGTGCCATTTTAGAGCCCCCAGGGCCCTCTGACCCCCGCGAGGAGCGCTCTGGAGGCCGCGGGGGCCCCCGCGGAACTTCTGGGGCACCTTGGGCCAAGGACACCTTGAGCATCATCCGATATAGCGCCGGCCAGCCTGCGCTCGGAGCGGCGCCACTTCCCGGCGCCGCCCTGGCGCGGCACGGCCGCGGCAACCGCGGCGAGGGCATCGAGGTTGAGGGCGCTCACTGTCTCCGCGTTCTCCATGGGCTCCAGGGCGCGCAGGAGGTCGCCCGTGGGGGGGCTGTCGCGCACGAGCACAAGCAGAACCTCCAGGCCGTCGAGCAAGGGCTCCAGCCCGTCGAGCTTCGCCATGTCGTCCGCCAGCATGGCCGCCTGCGCATCTGCCTGCAATGATTCGAGGAAGCGATCAAGCTTCGCCACGATCTTCGCAACGGCCGCCTCCGGCGACATGTCCCTCGCCGCCGCCGCGGCTGCCATGTCCCCCTCGATGATCGTCAGGCGCTGCGCCCACTCGAGCCTTCGAACGGGGGTTGCATTTCCCGAAGCAACGCGCCCTCTGCGCCGCCGCATCGGGAGCGGTGCGCGGGGATCGGGAAGACCGCGACATGAACGCGATAATCATAGCCGCGCTTGCCTTCCCGACGCGGAAACGCCCGGGCGCCCCCCCCGAAAATGCAACCCTCGCGCGGCAACCTGTCGGCCGGGAAAGCCGCCGCCGGCCAGCGAGACACGGTGCCCGCGAGCGCCTCCGCGCCGACCCCCGGCATCTCCACGAAACGCTTGACCGCGGCAGCGATGTCCAGCTGAATGCCCTTGAACGCACGGTATTTCGCCCTCTCCGCAGACTGCGCTGCGCTCCGCGCTACCCCCGCTGCGAACGCCGTCGCCGCCTCGAGGTACGCGCCCACCGTCACCTCCGCCGCGGCGGCGGTCGGCGCCGGGACGGCGTGGGCCAGCGGCGCGGCCGCGGGCGCCGGCGCCTGCGCATCCCCGGCGACGCCCGCCGGCGGAGCCACCGCCGGGACCGCCAAGGCTCCGCCGCTGGCCATTGAAGCGGCACCGACCGCCGGGGCGCCCGCGGGCGCACGCGCCGGCGGCACGGCATCCGCGCCCGCGCCAACCGCCGCCAACGTCATCGCCATCGACGCGGCAACGCCGCCCGCCGTCGCCACCTGGGACGCGCTGGCGGCGCGCGTCACTTCCGCCGCCGCGGCCGCTGACGGCGGCGCCGCGCCAGCGCCAACCGCCTCCACCCCCGCCGTCGGCGATTCAGCGACGCCGCCCGCCATCGACATCTGGAAAACGCCGGCGGCGGTTGTCTCTTTCGCCATCTCTGCCTGCGCCCCGCGTTGCCCCGCATCCACGGACAGCGTGACCGCGGCGAAGTGCTCCGCGATGAGTTTGTCCTCGCGCGCCTTCACCTTCGCGGCCACTCCGGTCAAGTCCGTCGCCGGGGCGCAGGCCGCGAAGACGGACCGGAACCGCTCCACCGCGCAAGCGCATAGGAGCTCCAGACGGGACGAGGAACGGGTACTCCTGCACCAGATCGAGGAGCCCATCGACGTACTTGTCGGCGACCAGTCCCACTGGGCGAATCTGCACGGAATGCCACGACGTCCACCTGGAATGGTTCGTGGAATTCGTGTTCTCCCGGAACAGCAGCTTCGACGCTCCGCCCTGGTGCGAGAACCCTCCTGGGCGGCCAACGGCATTTACGCCCATGGCCTCGCCGATCAGTTGGCGCAGCACGGCGCGGAACTCCTCGAAGGTCTGCGTGTGCATCCCGAAGCACCACGCACCTGGGGCATTCGCAATGCCGCCCTCTGCCGTTTCCTGGACGACAGCAGTCGGGTTGTCCTGGTGCGACGGGCTCATGTACTCGGCCACGACGTTCTGCGGCAACCCAGCATTGAATGCTGTGGCCCACTCGGGGACGTTGGCCGCATTCTTGGAAATCAAGCCGGACATCCAACGAACTGCGTTCTTGGACTCCTTCCTGCAGACAAGCTCGTCCGCATCCGCGAGCACTCCGACGATGCCGCCATCAAATGCCAGGCCCTTTGCCTGCACACTGACGTCGAAGAATACCTCCAGCACCATGGCCTGGACCTTCGCGTTCGCGTCCATCTTGCGGGCCTTCAGCGGGGAGCCACCGGCCGACTGGAGGAACGAGGTCATGCTGAGGAAGTCAACGCGAGTTCGCTTGCCTGAGAGAACACCTTGGTCCGAAGTGGCTGCGGGACTTCCACCTTGCCTTCTCTTTCAGATGGACAGCCTTCATCTGCAGGGCTCTTGGCGTCCACGACGGCCCCATATGCCTCCACAGTGACAGTAGGACGCCCAGAAGAGGCTCCCAATAATGCCTCCGCAGACCCAAAAGTGACCCGGCACGCCTGCAAAATGGCGCAGCTCGCCCACGCGCACGAAAAGATATCCCCAGAATGCCTCCGAATAAATTCAAATGATATAGCAGCGGTGCTGCGAAGACAGGAACGAATCCCACAGACGGGCCAAAGTAGCCCCAAGAGGCCCCAAGAAGGCCCCAAAGATCCTCCCACGAACCCGCGAAAATGGCGAGCGCCCCCAAAGAGCCCCCGATGGGAAAGACGAACTGGCATTTTGAACCTTTTTTGAACCTTTCCCCCCAAGATGGCCCCCAAGAAAAAGAAAAGCCTCCCGCGGGCTCCCTGAAAAGACCCCAAAAGGCTCCATGATGGCCTCGCGATGAGGCCCCCCAAAGCGCCCCAAGACAGCCCAAGGTGACCCCAATAAGGTCGGCTGAAGAGGCTCCCAAAATGGCCTCAAGATCAGAGGCCCCCAAGAGTGCCCCAAGACAACCCAAGGTGCCCCCAACAAGGTCGGGGACGGCCAGCACGACAACGAGCATGGACCAGGATGGACATCAAGACGGCCGACACGGCCTTCAACGTGAAGGCTGAGTGACTCTGAATGTGAGTGAGTCTGAATGTGAATGTGTCTTCGCGTGTGAGTCTGAATATGACTGAGCACACTGTTAATGTATCTGGGTGTGAGCGGTATGCGGAAGACTCAGTCAGGGAATCAGAGAATCTGAGTTGGAGTCTGAATGGGCTGTAGGGCTATAGGGCTATAGGGCTCTAGAGCTATGCGGCTATAGGGCTATAGAGCTATGCGGCTATAGGGCTATAGGGCTATACGGCTATAGGGCTCTAGGGCTCAAGGGCAAAAGGGATATAAGGCTATAGGGCTATAGGGCTATAGGCCTATAGAACTATAGGGCTACAGGGATATAGGGCTATGGAGCTATACGGGTATGGGGATATAGATGTGAAGGAATATCGGACTACATTGCTATATGGGCTATTGGGCTATTGGGCTACAGGACTATAGGGCTAAAGGGTTATAGGGCTATAGGGCTATAGGGCTATACGGCTATAGGGCTATAAGTCTATAGCGCTATAGTGCTCTAGGGCTCTAGGGCTATAGGGCTATAAGGCTGTAGGGCTATAGGGCCATGTAGGCTATAGGGCTTTAGAGCTATGGGGCTATAGGGCTATAGAGCTATAAAGCTATAGGGCTCTAGGGCTCTAGGAATATAGGGCTATAGGGCTACAGGGCTATAGGGCTATAGGGCCTCCGAATGCCCCCAGAAAGCTCCAAAGATGCTCCAGGAGTGCAAAGTCGATCAGGGCCCCCGCTGGTGGCCCCGCAGGGTGACACCCATTCGGGAGCAGAGCCTCCCTCCTCCGGCTCTCCCCTTCCAATACGAAAGCGTCTGAGACTTCCGCGCTCTTGA